AATCTATTTTTTGATTTTTGGGGGTCAAAATCCAAAAATTTAAAAAATCCGAGATAGCAGTTTTGTAGCCCTGTCAATTTTACATCTTTTATGTCTTTATCGTTTTTCTGTATTTGCAAAGCTATAGGCCTGACAGCTCTTCCCGCGAAACCCTTTTTTTGGTCGAAAACGGCAGAACATGACGTCACTCTGACGTCATTTCCAGCCAACCTATCATAGCCTTTGGAAAAATTTTTGGTCACGATGTGTAAAATTGATGTCCGAGAGGGTACTGAAAGTTTGGTGGCGATCGGCGCAGCGGTTCTGGAGATATATCGAAAAGTCTGGAGGGGGGGGGCAAAAAATAGCCCCCCCCCACCAGGGCGCGGGTTAACTCGGTTAGTTGGAAATTTATTAAGGCTATATTGAAAAATCAGAAATTTCCTGAGCAGATGCTCTCATGGTTTGAAATTCTATATGAAGGCTCGTTAGCAAGAATATTATATAACGGACATTTGTCTGGGCCAATTCCGCTGTTCAGATCCTGTAGGCAAGGCGACCCATTAAGTTGTTATCTGTTTCTTTTAGTAATGGAATGCCTTTCAAAAATGATACAAAATAACCCACAAATAAAAGGTATCACAATTAGTGACTTTGTATGCAAGGTATCGAGTTATTGTGATGATACACTCTGTATGCTCGATGGGTCAGTGAATAGTTGTAGGGCTCTGTTTAACGATCTTGGAGTGTTCGCAAAGTTTTCTGGGTTAGCTCCTAATATTGCGAAGACGCAAGCGATGTGGGTAGGTGCAAATACGGAAACAAAAGAGTCGATCTGTCATGATTTACAAATACAGTGGGTCAAACGAATGAAAGTACTTGGCATAGTTTTCGAAAACGATGATGAAGCAATGGGCGAGAATAATTTTGAATTAAAATATGCTGAAATGCAGGCAGCAATAAAAATGTGGAGCAACAGATATTTAACGGTATATGGAAAAATAACGGTAATAAAATCCCTACTTTTGCCCAAATTTACGCACTTGTTTGCCGCATTAAGAACACCAAGCGCAGACTTTGTTAAAAAAAATGAACACCGCACTCTTTAATTTTCTTTGGGGCGGAAAACGGGATAAAGTTAGTCGAAAAAGTGTTTATAGGAACACATTCATGGGAGGCTTAGGAATGCCAGACATTTCTAGCTATGTGACGGCTCTGAAATTGGCATGGGCAAGGAGGGAAATTACATCAACACATATGTGGGCGAAATTGTTTGTGGTTTTGGTAAGCAAAGGGGTATTCCTCTGGGACAGAAACGAACAGTCTCTGAAACAGGTGGCACAGGAAATAACAAGTGTTTTTTGGAAGGAGGTAATTTTAGCATATGGTAGGTTTATGAAAGCATACGAAGTAACTGATGTAGTGGATATCAGCTGCTGCAATATTTGGTATTCAGATCATACTAAGTTTAAAAAACGAGAAATTCGGGCATGGCGTGAGAAAGGTCTTACGACATTAAATGATCTGCTTGATCAGGATGGAGCATTGATGAATTTTGCACAACTTAAGAACACATTTGGTCTAACAGGAATCCAACTCGACTATATTGGGCTGAAGCGCAGCTTGCCGAGTCAGTGGTTGCAGGCGGACAAGGTTAAGCTTCCCGCGCCTGTGATTCATCCAGCGGTAGCTTTCATTTTGTCGCGTGAAAGAGGGTCCAAATACTTATATTCTGTTATTGTGAATGACCAGCTAAAGGATCATAAACATAAATGGGAAAACTCATGGGCTGAGCGATACGGTGGAGATATTTGCTGGCATGACGTATATAGAAACATTTTTGAGGCAACTTTATCTTCTTCTTATAGGGCATTGCATTACAAAATTGTTACCCGTATCCATGCCACAAATACATTGCTTCATAGGATAGGTATCGCAGACAGCGACGAATGTGTAAATTGCCATGATGCTCGAGATACATTAGCACATAAGTACTGGCAATGTCCAATGGTACGTAGTTTTTGGGATGATATTAAATTATGGCTTCTCGAGAGCAATATCATTACAAATGGAGATCAACTTTCTGAACTGAATGTGCTTCTTGGGACTGCAAATAACAACCTTACCAATCACGTAATTATATGTACCAAGGAGATTATTAGACGGGGTAAGGGATTGCACTTACAACATTTGCTTCAGTGCCTTAAAAGAGACAACGTAACTGAACATTACATTGCAAACATAAACGGAACAGTGGACCTGTACCAGAAAAAGTGGGAACATTTTCCGAGTGACATATAGTGACATAAAAAAGTGAAAAAAGGGTTAGTGGAAAACGATGTGCGCGAAACAAGCCCCCGCCCCTATGACCCATCCGGGCCAACCCGGGACTGGCCCCTCCTGTGAGGGGCCGGTCGGCCGGCCGGGCGTACGGAGCGCCGACCTAGACGGGTCGACGCTTCGCTCGCCCGGTCGGGTTGGTTAGGGGGCACCGCCCGGGGTTGCTTGCCGGGCGGTGCGGGCGGGGGTTCCATGACAACTGAACCAGTGACAACTGAACCAGGACAACTGAACCAGGGACAACTGAACCAGTGACAGCTGAACCAGTGACAGCTGAACCAGGGACAACTGAACCAGTGACAACTGAACCAGTGACAACTGAACCACGGACAACTGAACCAGTGACAACTGAACCAGTGACAACTGAACCAGGGACAACTGAACCAGTGACAACTGAACCAGTGACAACTGAACCAGTGGACAACTGAACCAGTGGACAACTTAACCAGTGGACAACTGAACCAGTAGACAACTGAACCAGTGACAAGTGAACCAGTGACAACTGAACCAGTGACAAGTGAACCAGTGACAACTGAACCAGTGACAACTGAACCAGTGACAACTGAACCAGTATGACAACTGAACCAGTGACAACTGAACCAGTGACAACTGAACCACTAACCAGTAGCCCAGCAAGCAATTTTACTCCGGGCCTAAGCAGGCTGAAGTGCGGCTTGCCCGATATTTTTAGTCCCGGGCTAAAGTCGGCTAGCGCTTGGACTAAACTCGGCAAGCGCTTGGGCTAAAGACTAAAGTCGGCGTATGACACAAAAACGCCGACTAAAGCCAATGCTCTGCCGGAGGTATATGCCCTCTCGGCGAGCTCAGGACAGCCGTTGTTAAGCCCTAGTTGTGCGACGTTTGGCGTAAGCCCGATGTAAGCCCGAGCAGTGAATCCATTTATATACCGGAGATTCCTCTGGGCTGGGCCCAGGCGGGCTGGACTCTGCCAAGCCGGCCAAGCCCACGTTGCGTACCCTGTCTGTCCCGAGTTAGGCCATCAAAGTGAATATTATTTATACGTTGCTAACTATTTGGGCGTCCCAAGTGGGCGTAACGGTTACCACACCAGTTCGCGACCACCAGGCTCTGTCAGCCCTGTCAGCCGTCGTACGGCTCTCGGACGGACACTAATAGATCGGACACAGATCAATTGGCAGACCGGCAGATTGGCACAGACCGTCCGTCCAGCCACGCGCTACCTTATACCTATACAGCGCAGGCCGCAGTACGACATTAGTTGTTTCTGGTTCAGTTGTCCACTGGTTCAGTCGTCCACTAGTTCAGTCGCCATACTGGTCCAGTTGTCACTGGTTCAGTTGTCCACTGGTTCAGTTGTCCACTGGTTCAGTTGTCCACTGGTCCAGTTATCACTGGTTCAGTTGTCCACTGGTTCAGTTGTCACTGGTTCAGTTGTCACTGGTTCAGTTGTCACTGGTTCAGTTGTCACTGGTTCAGTTGTCACTGGTTCAGTTGTCACTGGTTCAGTTGTCACTGGTTCAGTTGTCACTGGTTCAGTTGTCACTGGTTCAGTTGTCATACTGGTTCAGTTGTCACTGGTTCAGTTGTCACTGGTTCAGTTGTCGCTGGTTCAGTTGTCACTGGTTCAGTTGTCACTGGTTCAGTTGTCACTGGTTCAGTTGTCTACTGGTTCAGTTGTCTACTGGTTCAGTTGTCCACTGGTTCAGTTGTCCACTGGTTCGGTTGTCACTGGTTCAGTTGTCCCTGGTTCAGTTGTCACTGGTTCAGTTGTCACTGGTTCAGTTGTCGCTGGTTCAGTTGTCACTGGTTCAGTTGTCGCTGGTTCAGTTGTCACTGGCTCAGTTGTCACTGGTTCAGTTGTCCCTGGTTCAGTTTTACTGGTTCAGTTGTCCCTGGTTCAGTTGTCACTGGTTCAGTTGTCTGCCTACCGCGGGCGGGGGCTGGCGGCCCGCCTGGAGCGCCGGGGAGGCAGCCATCAGATCTCCCCGGCTGGGGAAGCATCCCCCCAGCTCTCCCCAGGGCCGTGGACGGCACCGTCCCGGCCTGGCCAGGCGGGCTGCCGATGGTGAGCACAATGTTTCATGCTTATTTTTGCCGGTGTTTTTATGTGTACTATGTAAATAAAACTGTGGAAAAAAAGTACGTATGGACAAGAGCACGTCAAGGGCAAAAGAACGTATCGCAAAAGTACGTCGAGTATAAAGTACGTATGGAATAAGTACCTACGTCAAGGACAGAAGTAGGCGTATCGCAGAAGTAGGTACGTACTACGTACAGTACAAAGTACCTACGTATACCTAGACAAAAGTACGTCAAAGACGAAAATACGCATCGAAAAAGTACGTAAATTATTAAGTACGTATATCGCTAAGGTACGTAGTACGTACCCTTGCTGACTTGCATAGATGTCGCAATCGGTCGCAACTTCAGCGAGACATGCAGTGCGAACGGTAGCAGACAGCAGTAGTTTCCCCTACCAAAGTGGTGGTTTTCTACCACAGACGCCCGTCGAGGTCGGAATTTCCAAATACGCCCTGGAGCTAGGACATCCTTATAGACCCATAGAAACAAAGAAACAGGAAATGAATTATCACTACAAAGTCAGGAAGACTGTAAACGGCTTAGTGCAGCGGCCCGCAGCAGCGGTGTCTGTTCCAGCACGAATCACGATGTAATCTGGTACTGCACGGCACTCTCACCAGTGATTTCCAGTGTCTTCAGCGACTTGGGCAGCAGTCGCAGCCACTCGCCGGTGCTGTCCACGGGTGGGCTCACATAGAGCCGCCCCAGAGCCTCCAGCGGCTCCAGCAGCGCCTCCAGCTGGCAGTCACCGATGCCGGCTGGAAGTGTCAGCTCACGCAGACTGGAGGCGTTGGCACGCGCCAGCCGGCGCAAGGCAGAGACTCTCAGCTTGAACCCGCGCAGGTCGGCTGTCTGGAGGGCGTGGCAACTGTCCGCTGGAATACAGCACCATTGCTAGTGAACTAGTGATCATATGGACAGGTCATAGGATACATGGAATACAACAACACTATGCGTAAAGTAATAATCACATGGACATTGGACAGGTCACGTGATAATTAGTCATCAGAGGCCTCTTGCACCAAACTACCTAGCTAGGTAAAATTGAAAAACCGGTTTCAGAATAAGCTAATCTAATGGTGGTAAATTTGTTTGCAATAGCCCAATACATAATCCTACATGTGCTTGCTCAATTTTGCACGCAAATTGTTACATTTGAGACTTGGACTGAGTGTACGATGCAAAATAATCCAAGCATTGGTGCAAGAGGATTTTGGTGCAAGAGGCCTCAGAGCATGTAAAGTGTGTTCCATTACAGGACTTACCGACCAGTCGGATGTCTGTGTATGTCTCAGCGATCGGCGCCTTCAGCGAGGTCATATCCGGCTGGTCCTTTACCCTTACCACCAGCTGCAGACTTGTCATTGTTGGAGTGCTAAACCCCCGAGCTGACCGGTCGGCGATCTCCCGCCGACAGTCGTCGAGGATGCCGTCGACGGCGGATCGCCAGCTCCGACAGACTGTCGGCACCGACGGAAAATAAATGAGAAAATGGGCATGGGCCACCGTCCAGCATCAGCGTCGGTGGTGACTTTAACCCTCGCATGTGTAGGGGGGGTCGGATGGACCCCCCCCCATGGTTTTTCGCGAATAACTCGCGTAAAAAGCGGCCGATCGCGACGAAACTTTCAGTACCCTCTCATTGATCAATTTTACACCTACCCTGAAAATTTCATGACCCTGACCCAAATGACCTTTGACCTGTGACCATAGGCGGCGGAACGATTTGAGACAAGGGGGGGCACCATGGCTCAAGGAGCCAAACCTAGGGTACCCCCAAATCCTGTTTTCTCATCGGATTTAGGCCACTTATTTTTCGTCACAGCCCTGACACGATGATTTTTTTTTTTGATTTTTTTTTTACTAAACGAAAATGGCAGTTCACCCCCGTATGCAGGGGTGTAATTGTATATCTCTTTGTGGGGGCATATGCCACAATCCTGAATTATGTATGCCCACACAATGATGAAAATGCACCCACAAGTCTTTTACAAGGCTGCAAGCGTCCTTTCGAGAGCACGGTGCCCTTCGCATGCTCTAACGGCGTCCTCCTGACCGTCTCGCGTTCATGGATAATATAGCGTTTTTAATCACTCGGCGCCCTTCTGGGAGAATAGCGCACTTTTGACAGCACCGCGCCATTCTCATGGTCTAACGGCGCCCTCCTGACCGTCTCGCGTCCTTAGGTCTCTGTTCACCGTGCATCCCTCGACTGTTCGGCGCCCTTCTGGCCTCTCAGCGCCCCTGAACCACATATAGCGTTTTCAATCACTCGGCACCCTTTTACGAGAATGGCGCCCTTTTCATGATCTCAAGGCGCCCTCGTAACCATCTGGCGCCCCCACGTCCCCACCAACGTAGCACTACTGACTGTGCGGCGCCCTTCTGGCCTCTTAGCGCCCCTGGACCACATAGCGTTTTCAATCACTCGGCGCCCTCCTAAGAGAATGGCGCCCTTTTCATCGTCTCACGGCGCCCTCGTAAGTCGTAACCGTCTGGTGCCTCCACATTTGGTGCCCCTCCTACTGGATGGCGCCCCTCTACAGCTTTTTACGTCCTTCCGGTCAGTTTCCACTTTTAACCCGCGCACCGACGGGGGGGGGCGGATATCCGCCCCCCCCCTGAGGTTTTTCGCGGATAGCGGGAAAACCGCGGCGCGTAGCGCCGCAAAATTTGGTATGACTATTCTCTCATCAATTTTACACATGGTGTGCAAGTTTGAACCTCCTACTATTTAAGGTCAGGTCACCAGGTCACTTTGAATGACCCAACCTCAAGTCACTTTTTTGCAACTTTGTCACCGTGCCAGAGCTACAGTAGATGTCGGAGGAAAGTCGCAGGATGTTATAAGGTCATTAGTAGCTACAATTTGTATATCTCGGAATTTTGATGTCGGTGACCTAAGGTCAGGTCAATTTCGCGACCTCCCCATTATAAGTCAATGGGGGAAAAATCAACTCCCTGTTTTTACCACTAAAACGGGTCGGAATGGCCCCATATACCATACATGACTTCACATACGATCAACCTTCACTACCTTGAGGTCTGTTTTGCTGTTGGGCAGCTGTAAGGTCATGTGACGTCATCAAAGGTCACCAAAGGTTTTTTGCCAATAACTCCTTACAGGAACAAGATACAGCCGCGCGGATGGTCTCATTGTGTTCAGCTCGCCAAGACGCATCGAATGATATACATGATGACCTCGAGGTCACGTGACCTGAGGTCAACCTTTGACCTTGACCTTTCGAGGTCAACATATATATCATTCGATGCGGATTGACGAGAGGATCACGATGATGCCCTTAGTTTGTTCCTATCTTGACTACTTCGAAAGTTATTCGAGAAAAACCCTCTCCGTATCTAGCGCCGCCATTTTGACTTTTTCGACCCCTGTGACGTCATCTTTGACCTGACCTGAAAATGACCTTAGTAAAAATTGTAGACCTTGTCCGTGCGTATCCGATGCCGTTTACCGCTTGTCGCTATCTTGCTTCGTTCTCGAGATCTCAGGGGGGGGGGCGGTCATCCGCCCCCCCCCCCGTCGGTACTAAGTTGGCGCAGACCCCCGTCGGTGCGCGGGTTAAGCGTGTATTTGCTTAGTCAGACACGTCACTTGAAGCGCCATTCGGCTAGCAATGTTATCAAATTCGGTGTTAATTTAGGCTCCCACATAAAGAATATCTATCGCGCCCCAAAACGGCCTGGCGCCGGGCGCCCCTACAGCTGGGCACCCACAATCATTTTAGGAAAATTACACCCCTGCCCGTATGTGTGGTTAACTTTAAAGTTTAAGCTGATCCTCAAGTACCTATGTGTTTGTCTCTTCCTTATTCTCGTTTGATAAATTCCATTAATCCTACATGTAACAAATTACCAAGAAGCCATCGTAGTACTAATCAGTGGCGAATCCCAGGGTGGAGGTCACATGGGTCATGACTTAGGGCCTGGGGTCACCACATGCCTGCCAGGAGCACCACAGGTCTGACAGCCGACAGGGGCACCACAGGCCCGCCAGGGGTACCACAGGCCTAGCAGGGGCACCACGGGCCTGTCAGTGGCACCACAGGCCTGTCAGGAGCACCATTGGCCTAGCAAAAGCACTACAGGTCTTCCAGGGGCACCACAGACCTGCCAGGGGCACCAGAGGCCTGCCAGGGGCACTATCGGCTTCGCAGGGGAACCACCGGCCTCGCAACGGCACCATGGGCCTGTCAAGGGCACCACAAGCCTGTCGTTGGCAATTTAGGATTGTCAGAGGCACCACAAACCTGTCAAGGGCACCTGCGTTCTAACAGGGACACCACAAACCTGCCAAGGCCCAGGGACACCACAGGCCTAGCAAGGACACCACAGGCCTGTCAGGGGCACCACGGGCCTGTCAGGGCCCATGGGCACCTAAGTCATGTCAGGGCCCACCGTGGGCTTGTCAGGGGGCAGGGTAGGTAGGTACCACAGTCTTTCCAGGGGCATCAGCGGCCTAGCAGGGGCACCAGTCATCACATGACTAACCAAAAATAAAGAAAATAAAAAAACGGAAAATAGGGCACCACCAAAATTAAGTGGCCGAAATCCGTTGAGGTTTTAATTTTGGGCATAGGTAGGGACACCACTTCGATTCATGGCCCTCCCCTTGGAGTTTTCCCCGAATCTGCCCCTGGTACTAATACATCAAATTTAAGGGGGGGCACCTTGCTATTGGTGCCCCCCTTGCAGAATTCAAGGGGGGCACGGTGCCCCGGTGCCCCCCCCCTTTCCGCCGCCTATGCCTGTGACCTCTTTTCCGAGACCATGTTTGGCCGGAATCGCGATTCCGCGTATTTCGGCTCGCATTAGCCGCGCGTTTGCAAGCTTTTCGTGGTTTCAAACGTTCAAACATGTGATTTGATGTTGCTCCCATGCATTAGAATGGGTGTCAAGGTCATCTGAAGGTCAGGTCAGGTCATTGACCTTTGGTGACCTCGGGTGACCTCGGTTCACTTTTTCGAGTTTTACATGTTTCTAGGCTAGTTTTTGGAGCTGAATTCGAATTTAGCAACCATTTGAACATTTACGAAGTAGTTTTGGTGCCTTCTTAACATGTTACGAAGCTGTCAGAGGCGGTTGACACGTACTACGAATACCCGTCACAACCCCTACTGGTTGACCTGACCTGACCTGACCCGACCTGGTCTAAATGCTTAAAGACATCATCTGTGATCAAAACTAACACGACATTCGTGATCAGCACCCCGAAAAACCGCTTAGCCGCCACACTTTACGACTTTCTAATAGGTCCCGATTTTCCCGACTTTGGGTCATTGACCTGACCTGGAAGGTCAACCAATGACCTAGGACCTTAAAATTGGATATCATCGGCTTCCTCTCGTCACGGGCAACACGCTCGTTTTTTCCGCGAAGCTCTAGCTCGATCAGGGGCCAAACGGCAAGGGGGGGGGTCCAACCGACCCCCCCCCCCCCCTACACATTAGAAGCTGGCAAACGCCGCACACATGCGAGGGTTAAAAAGAGTATTTATTTCTAGACCAGAGCATATCGGCTGATGGGACTTCTCCAGCCATTGGATCCATGAGTATAATACATCCGCGTGACTACATCTCCAATGTCTGAGGATGAACAGACGACACGTCGGCTGGTATCGTCTTTTAAAACACGAGCTCGGCGGTCGCCGTGTCGAGAGCCTTACCTCGCCTGGCGCGGAACATCTCCCTGCAGTCCATTCTGCTCAGCACCGCCTTCAGCGCGTCCAGATTAATGTTTATTTCACTGAAATCGGTTTTGTTCAGGTCGCCGCCCGTCGGCGCCTCCTCGGTTGTGACGTCATCAGACTTGATGACGTCACTCTTGCTGGGAGCGTCGTCCGTTGGGGTGGTGACGTCCTTACCGTCACTGGAGGAGGAGATGACATCAATATGACGTCAGATGACTTCTGATGGAACCCTACATCCCTCTTACCCATACATGTAAATACATCCATATAGGCCAGCCCTACAAAGCTCCAGAGTCAGAAACTACTTCTTTCAATCAGGTCCCAGGACCAACAATGCCAGCCACTAGCATGTACCGCTTCACCCAGTGTGACCCCTTCTGCCTCTTGAGTCTCACTGCCTCCCACTCTCAATCCAGCTGCATTTACCCCCCCCCCCGCCCCCACAGTCTTTGGGGGATCTCTCACCCCTTGCTATTTCCCACCCTTTGCTATCTCTTACCCGTTGCTATTTCTTACCCGTGCTATTTCTTACCCATCCTGACGGATGCATGTCTCCTCTTGCTGAAGGCTGCTTGTCTCTTCTTGCTGCTGGCTGCTTGTCTCTTCTTGGAGGGTGCTTGTCTCTTTTTGCTGAAGGCTTCTTGTCTCTTCTTGCCGCTGGCTGCTTGTATCCTGTTCTTGAATGTTGCAAGTAGCCTTAACCAGAGGGTCGCATTTCTCCTCGGTTGGGCAGATCTTCTGCTCCAGCCTACCGATGGCCTTCCACAGGTCTTTCTCTATGGTTTGTCGAGCTGAGCGCTCTTCAATCAGCGCCTGCCGGAATCTGGCCATCTCCTCTTGAAGTTGCTGTATCTCCATCTCTGAAACAGGTACACAGTTGTTCTGATGATCTGCTATCATATAGGATCTGGCCAAGTTAGCCAGGGTTAAACCACGTCCGTATTGCCGTTTCGCCAGCCACTAACGTAGAGTGGGAAGGGAAGGGGGTCCGGTGGACCTTCCAGTCCCTGATCAAGCTAGAGCTTCGCGAAAAAAAACGAGCTTGATGCTCGTGACGAGAGAAAGACGATGTTAAGATCCTAGGTCATCGGTTGACCTTTAAAGTCAGGTCAATGACCCAATGGTCGTAAAAATCAACTTGTGATATAGGTACTACGTCTTTGGTTGACCTTTCAGGTCGGGTTTGATGACCCGACAGTCGTGAAAATCGAGGCATGCTAGATAATTCTGGTGAGGTCTTACGAGTTTTCAGGGCCCTGACTTTGAGTTTCATACAAGATTTCATCAGCGAAGATGTTCTTATGCGTTTCGGGTGGGTTAGGTCAGGTCAGGTCAGGTCAGGTCAGGTCAACTAGTAAGCGTCCCAACGGCTATTCATGGTAGGTATATACCTACATATGGTAGGTGTCAGCCAGCACTAACAGCTTCGTTACATGTTTTGTAGGCCGACCAAAACAACTTCATAATGATTGAATGAATACATGAATTCAAAATCAGCTCCAAAAACTAGCCCTCACCCGTATTGGTGTTTTTCCATCCGCGAACGTACCTATAGGGGGTGGGGGGGCTCCAACGGACCCCCCTTGCTGTTTCGCCCCTGATCGAGCTAGAGCTTCGCGGAAAAAAACGAGCGTGTTGCCCGTGACGAGAGGAAGCCGATGATACCCAATTTTAAGGTCCTAGATTATCGGGTGACCTTCCAGGTCAGGTCAATGACCCAAAAGTCGGGAAAATCGGGACCTGTTAGAAAGTCGTAAAGCGTGGCTACTACGGGTTTTTTGGGGATGCTGGTCACGAATACCATGTTAGTTTTGATCACAGATGATGTCTTCATGCATTTAGGCCAGGTCGAGTCAGGTCAGGTTAGGTCAACCAGTAAGGGTATTCGTAGTAGGTGGCAACCGCCTCTGACAGCTTCGTAACATGTTTGTTTGTTTGTTTGTTGATTGGGGCTTTAGGGCGCGCCGACTGCTAAGGTCATTTTGCGCCCATAACGTCGTAGGTACTAATAAAACAAGTGTGCTACAAGAAAGAACCTTCTAGATACTAAGACTAGAAAGTAAGACTCGATATAAATTAGCAAGGTAAGATAAAACAGCGCAAAGGTGTCGTCCTAGACAACTGACTAGCTGAAAGGACTAGAGAGGGCTAGTTGGATTGGGGTCAGGTCGAGTAAATCACTTGGAAGTTGATCGAACGGATGAAAGAAAAGATGTTGCCGAATAAAACCCAGGGTGACTCGTCACCCAGTAAGCGGCGGATAGTGGTACCCGGAGCGATGCGCCCGAGGTAGCGTGTCCGGTTCGGTTCAGCGAGAGGACAAGATAAAAGCACGTGAGAGACAGTGAGAGGCACGGTACACCTGCGACAGGTGGGCTGCTCTTCTCCGCGGAGGAGATGACCATGCGTGGCATACGTATGGCCGATGCGCAGCCTACATAAGACGACTTCGTTATGTCTGTTACTTTGCATGGATGACGACCAAGGCTCGAGAGTTGGCTTGATATCTCTCAGCTTACTGCTCGCGCGCGAGTCCCACTCTGCCTGCCACTGCGAGAGCATGGAAGATCGTACGACGGGATAGTAATCCCGGGCAGGCAGAGGAAATCGCCGAGTGTAGGGCGCTGCGGCAGCGCGTCTCGCGGCGGCGTCAGCAAGCTCGTTGCCTTGGATTCCAACATGACTGGGAATCCAGCAAAACCGGATAGTTTTTCCGGACTGTTCCACCGAAGTTAGCCGAGTTAAAATGTCCTGAATGATCGGGTCGTCAGGATTAAACCGTCGTAAAGCCAACAGACTGCTTAGTGAGTCTGATAAAATCAAGTAGAAAAAAACGTCGGACACCTCAATAAAACACAGAGCCTTTTCGATGGCGACTAGCTCTGAGGAAAACACCGAGGCACTGGGTGGAAGGGAAAACGAGCGGGTGTCCCGACCAGCGACAAAAGAGCAACCCGCTCCCTCGGATGTTTTTGAGCCGTCTGTGTAGACTGAAATAAAACCATCATACGAGGCTATATGCTCCAAGGCTCTGGTTTGTGCTTCATAGGACAGCAGGCTATCCTTTTTTACTTCGGAAAGCGAGAGGTCTACCTGCGGCGGGGCGTTTCTCCAGGGTGGAGAAGGCGTTCCCCAGATACGCCGAACGCCGCGCAAGGCTATATTCGATGTAGAGAATAACCCTCTCATGCGTGCTCCGAATGGATGACTCGTCCCATTACCAGATGAAGCAATGTGACGCTTCGTAACATGTTACGAAGGTACCAAAACTACTTCGTAAATGTTCATATGGTTGCTAAATTCGAATTCAGCTCCAAAAACTGGTCTAGAAACATGTTAAACTCGAAAAAGTGAACCGAGGTCATCAAAGGTCAATGACCTGACCTGACCTTCCGGTGACCTTGACACCCACCCTAATGAATGGGAGCAGCATCATATCCCATGTTTGAACGCTTAAAACCACGAAAAGACTGCAAACGCGCGGCTAATGCGAGCCGACATACGCCGAGTCGTGAGTTTTTTTTTCACGAAGCTCTAGCTCGATCAGGGGCGAAACGGCAATACGTTCGCGGCTGGAAAAACACCAATACGGGCGAGGGTTAAGCCTGAAACAGACTCTTAGAGCAGTCAGGAAAGCGCATGCGAGAGCCTATTCAAATATATGGAAGCATGCTCGCATCAATCGCACGCACCTCCTGCATTCGATTGATGCGGGCAAAATTATAATGTATTTGAATAGGTTATAGCATGCTCGATTTCCTGAATGTGAAAAGAGTCTGTTTCAGCTTTTAATATGGGTCACAACCCTGAAGTATGTACCTTCTGTCCAGACCACTTCCCTACCGCTACCACGACCCCTTACCGTGCTATCCTCCGCTGCTGTCCGAGTCTCCAACAACCACACTCGACCCAGGGACGCACTACAGAGCCCCGACCCAACCCTCCAGTCGCCACTGTGACACTGGGACACACGGTATTGACTTTGACTGGGCGCCGCTTGAAGTTTACAGGCATGTGGCACGATACATGGGCGCACAGTGGGCCCAGTACACTGTGCAGCGGGAAATAATTCAACGGCTTATCTGCGTATTAAAAATGACAGCGATTTAGGCGATATTGATATATAAATTAATGCGTCTCTTCTTATTGATTTTCCATCACAAGTAGCTGCGTGTATGGGCGTTTCGAAAACAATGTCACTATTATAAACAGCTCCCGTTTGTTGACTATATGATAAACATAATTTATATTGAGGTAGACCCAATGGCACAGCATTTTAGCTGGCACGATTAGTCACAAGCCCTTATACCAGTTTTACACAAAACGACACCCCACTGATGCAATATAATGTTCGTATGGTTCCACTGTGCACCCTGGTATCCAACAACAGTCCACAAAGGCTCGCCGTATCGACTACCCGTGACGTCATCATGGCAGTTCAATTGTCTGTCGAACCGAGGACCATGGGTTATTACGTGGTGCCCCTATAACGAAACGTCGGTGGCTCGGAGATCGGGCCCTGGTTGCTGATCAATTGTTCCACCTTCTCTTGGCATGATCTGCCTGCAGTGTTCTGTTCGATCCAAAAATTATGAGGAATGATTTTCCTTGATAAACGACAACTATTCGGTATCGCGCTCAGTATCGCAAGAACCGAAAAATACCGACGATAATTTTTCCACACTGAAGAGAATCCTAAGAGCACGGTCGCGGGGATATTGTTCCTTTGTCGTCAGATGATAGCCGGCCGACACAGAGATGGCCAACGTATACAGGGTGTCCGGAAAGTCATGGCGCTTTTCAATTTTTCGCAAACAAATGCGGCTGGTTCATATATATTTAACAACTGGATGAAACAATGATCGGGGACAACAAGAGACATCCTTCCGCCAACTGTTCACTCGATATAGCCGCCGTCGGCGGCGACGACGGCCTCGACGCGGGGGCGGAAGCCCTTGCATGTCTTGACGATGTATGCCGCCTCCAGACCCTCCCACGCTTCCACGATGCGAGCCTTCAGCGACTCCAGGTTGGGATGAGAGGTAGCCTGGACCTCATCCTGCAAGACGCTCCACACGCTGTAATCGAGAGGGTTGAGGTCGGGGGACTGAGGCGGCCACATCTTTCTTCTTTTGCCAGAAGTGGTCTGGCCCGCCCAGCTCCTCTGTCAGCTTGGCTTGGACGGCGGCAGCGTTGTGGGCGGGCGCTCCGTCCTGTTGAAACACGAAGTTGCCCTCCGGGTAAGTCGCCTTGATCCACGGGATGACGTGCCTGTCCAGGAGCTCCTCGTAGACCAGCCTGTTGATCTTTTCGTTGGCATCAACGAAGATGATGGGACATTTCTGCCCGTCCGATCCGATGACCCCCAGGACCATCACCTTCTGCGGGTGCTTGTTGACTGGGTTGAACCGAATCCGGGGATCCACTTCGTCAACAGGCTTGTCGGACAAGTAGCGAGAGTTCCTTCGGTTGATCTGAGCGTCGACGTGGAACAGCTTCTCATCGGAAAAGATCCGAACGAAGCTGGAGGTCACTGGGCTCTTTAAGAAG